TATGTGAATCCACCTCTCATCTGTCAGTTTGTCATACTACTGTGAGGCTGGAGGCTATACCATCAATATTTCAAATACCTGCAGGGACAGCCATAGTGGACAGGTTTCTGTGGAGTTTCCACCTAAGACTGGGAAGAAGGGTGGGGCTAGCCACTTCTGAAAAATTGGCCAGTGAAAACTTTATGATTAACAGTGAAATACTGTCTGATATATTACTGGAAAACTTTATGAAACATTGAAACATTGTCTGACACAGTGCCAGAAGATGAGACCCTCAGGTTGGAAGCTCTCAAAATATGACTGGAAAAAAGCTGTCTCCTCAATGTAGAGTCGACCTTAATGACATAGATGGAGTAGATTTTGGAACCTCGTTTTGCTGATGGGGCACAGCTGAAAATGGGAAGAAACAGCTGCAAACATCCATTAACAATTGGAACGTGGAAGGTGTGAAGTATGATTGTATGAAAATTGGAAGTTGTCAAAAATGAAATGGAATGCATAAAAATTGATCTCCTAGGCAAGAGTGAGCTGAAGTGGACTGGTTTTGTCCATTTTGTATTAGACAATCATGGTCTGCTATGCTGGGAATGACAAATTGAAGAGGAAGGCATCACATTCATCATTACAAAGAGTGCTTCAAGATCTATCCTGAAGGACAGTGCTGTCAATAATAGGATAATGTCCATATTCCTACAATGACTATATGAAGAACATGCCATCAGGATTGGAGGAAGACTCATTAACAATCTGTGATACACAGATGATACAAACTTACTTGCTGACAGTGAAGATGACTTGAAGCACTTACTGATGAAGATTAGAGTACAGTCTGCATTATGGATTATACACCTCAACATAATAAAATAAAATAAATCCTCACAACTGGACCATAAGAAGCATCATGATAAATGGAGAAAAGATTGAAGTTGTCAAAGACTTCATATTGCTTGATTTTACAATCAACACCAATGGAAGCAGCAGTCAAGAAATCAGACATTTATTGCACTGGGAAAACCTGCTCAAAATATCTCTTTAAAGTATGAAGAGCAAAGATGTTACTTTGAGGACTAAGGTGCACCTGACCCAAGCCATGGTATTTTCAATTGCCTCATATGCATGTGAAACCTGACCAATGAATAAAGAAGACCAAAGAAGAGTTGATGCCTTTGAATTATGGTGTTGGCAAAGAATACTGAAAATACCATGGACTGCCAAAAGAAAGAACAAATCTATCTTGGAACAACTGCAGCTGGAATGCTCCTTAGAAGTGAGAATAGCTAGACTTTGTCTCACTTACTTTGATCATGTTGCCAGAAGACACCATTCCCTGGAGAGGGATATTGTGGTAGTTAAGTTTGTGTGTCAACTTGGTTGGGCCTGGTTGAGTGGCTGGGAAGCTGAATGTAGTTAGTCCCCGTGGTGACAGTGGTAATTAACTCCATGGTGAAATCTATTGGAGTAACTGAGTAGCTGCTTTGGGTATGTGTTCTGCTTCCTGTATATAAGAAACAGCTTTGGGAATGGTCTCCAGCTTATGGCACGCTTGAACCCTGCATGTAGTTGTGTTTTTCAGCAGCCTGCCATGCTCTGCTGACCTTGGGACTTTCAGTGGACTTGAATTAATGGCCTGCCATGTAGTTTGGTAACATTGGGACTGTGCCTTTTTACTTGTCAACCTTGTGTTTGTCAGTCTCAGCAGCCAGAAGCTGTCTGAGTGAAGAAAAGCCTCTAGCTCCAGTGGGCCGGGAGCAGGAGGCAGAGCTGAAGCCCAAGTTTAAGGGGCTTTCACCCAGTCTCTAGAGCCTGGTACTTCAAACTTGGACTTCTAGCCTCCCAAACTGTAAGAGAATAAACTCCTGTTTGTTCAAGCCATCCTATTTGTGGTATATTCATGTCAGAGTGGCACTAGGTAATCAAAACAGATATCATGCTTGGTAAAGTGGAGGGTCAGTGAAAAAGGGGAAGGCCCTCAACAAGTTTGTTATAAAATGACCTCTGAGTAGTCCTTTTGCTCTGTCCCAAAGCTTTTGTTAAGTTGTATCTGCATTCTCATTTGTTTCTAGGAATTTTTTTATTTTGCAGTTTATTTCTTCTGTTTCCCAGTAGTTTTTCAGCAGTGTGTTATTCAGTTTCCACATATTTGGTATTTTTTCCTTTATCTTCCTATTATTGATTTCTAATTTTATAGCATTGTGACCCGAGAAGATGCTTGGTAGTATTTCATGTTTTTGAATTTATTGAGGCTTGTTTTGTGTCCTGACATATGCTCTATTCTGGAGAATGATCCATGGAGAAGAATGTGTATTGTGCTTTTGTTGGGTGGACTGCTCTGTATTTGTCTATGAGGTCAAGTTGGTTCATTGTGTTGCTGAGTTTTTCTGTAGCTTTGTTGAGTTTTTTTTCTAGTTGCTCTGTCCCTCCTTGAAAGTGATGTGTTAAAGTCTCCTACTACTGTTGTAGACTTGTCTTTTTTTCCTTTCAATTCCATTAATATTTGCTTTATACATTTTGGCACTCTTTCATTGGGTGCGTCTATTTATTATGGTAAAGTCTTCTTGATGAATTGACCATTTTAGCATCATATAGTGTCCTTCTTTGTCCCTTATGCTGTTTTTCACCTTTATGTCTATTTTAACAGAAATTAATAATTTTTTAAAAATGAAACTTTTTACAGCTACTGTTATAGAGAAATATCACTTACAACAAATAAGAATAACTGTTAAAAAAGGCTATCCAACCATTAAAACAAAAGGAATTAGACCACAAAAAAAAAGGAATGAAACATGATACATGCTACAACATGGATGAACTTTGAAAACAACATACTACATGAAAAAAGTCAGTCACAACAGATCATGTATTATATGATTCCAAAATTATGATATTCCAGAACAGACAAATCTATAGAGACAAAAAAGAGATTAGTGGTTTCCAGGTGTTGGAGAGGATGAGTGAAAATAGGGAGTGGCTGTTAATACATATGGTGTTTCTTTTTAGAATGATTAAAAATGTTTTAAAATTGATTGTGGTGGTGGCTGCACTCTATGACTATACTAGAAACTTTTGAGCCTTACACTTTTAATGGGTGAATCATATGCTATGCAATATATATATATATTGTTGCTGTTGTTGTTGTTATGTGCCATTGAGTCGGACCCGACTCATAGCAACCTCTCCTTGGGTTTCTGAGGCAGTATCACTATGGAAGTAGATTGCCCCATCTTCCTTCATATATATATATTAAAATAAATAAATAAATAATAAAAAACCCAAAAAACTGAACTTCCTGAGCATGTGTCCAGAAAAAATAAGAACATGATACGAATTTAAAAACAATTTATTAAAAAGAAATAATACATATTCAAAAAAGAAAGCAAATCAAGAGAAAAAGAAATCATTCACTGTAGAAACTAACAAACAACAAGGAAACAGAATCTCATTTGGCACCACTGTCCTTCTAATGCACCAAATCCTTATGCTGAAAATTGGATATTAGAGAGAAAGGATTTCAAAATTATCCTGTCTTTTCTATAGGAAATATAATTGGGATAACCATATAGGTCCAGTTGACAAAATACAGAAAAATACCAGATAGTAAATGGTAAAAGATAGATTAAGGGGCAAAAAAAAATATATCACCAATTCTTCAACTCTTAAGGGTATTGCAAAATAACTTAACTTTCACTCAACATATTATTTATTCAGGTTGTCACTAAAACCAGAATTTAAATTCTATTCAGTTGACCTATTTAATTTATGGTGTTGTTGTTAGGTACCATGGAGTCAGCTCTGACTCTTAATGACCCTACGTACAACAGAATGAAACAATAGCTGGTCCTGCACCATCCTCACAATCCTTGTGTGCTTGAGCCCATCACTAAAGTCACTGTGTCAGTCCATCTTGTGGATGGGTTTCCCCTTCTTTGCTGACCCTCCACTTTACCAAGCATGATATCCTTCTTCAGGAGCTGGTCTTCTGACCATATGACCAAAGTACATGAGATGATGTCTGTCCATTCTCGCTTCTCATAGTAGGTGTTTTATTCCTGTTGTTTATTTTTATCTTTTTCTGGTGATCTTTTAACTGAAATGCTATGATGGAGAATTCCACTCCTTACATTTGGAGACTTATAAATACCTTAATAATTTCAATATTTAGAATGTTTAAAATTTTTATTGGACTCATTTTATCATCAGGTTTTTCATTATGCTTAATTTGTATTATGATATTAAATTCAGCCTTATGGATTATTTCAAACTATTATAGAGTATTTACAGATTTACTTTGCTCTTGAAATCTGAAATGCTAAGAAGTCATTTCAATTTAATTGTGTTTTATTAACTTCAGAATAAAAAATCAAAAGTAAGCTGTGTAAGGAGATCACATATCAACTAAATACTGGGTTCAATGTGTAATCTCCACATGTTTGTAATTTTTATTTTTATCTCATGTAAGATAATTTATTAAAATAGCCAGGTATTGACTGCTCTGATGGGATCACAACAGAGAGTCCTGGACAGGGTGGGAGAAAAATCTAGAACAAAAAAACAAACAAATTCACAAAAAAGACCACCATTCTGGTCTGACAAAAACCAGAGAAACTCCTGAGTTGATGGCCCTTTGATACTTATCTGGAAATGAAATCATTTCTGGAAAGTACCTTTCAGCCAAACAATAGGCCCATAAAATAAACAAAAATGCCTGAGAGGAACTGTTCCTTAGAATAATCAATTATATTAGATCAATAGGACAATGCTTGCCCAAAAGCAAACATAAGAAGGCAGGAAGGAGTAGAAGACTGGGAGGAAAGAGAATGGGGAACCCAGGGTGCAAATAAGGAGAGGGTTGATAATGTCGAGTGGAATGTAACCAATGCCATGGAACATTTCATGTATAAAGTATGAATAGGAAACATATTTGCTCTCTAAATTTTCACCTAAAGCACAATTTAAAAAATAAATAAATAAAAAGCCAGGCAGGTGGTGGCAAATAAATTTTTTTAATGATGTACTAATACTGTATCAACAGACTTTTTATAGTGTTTTGGATCACAACGTGCAAGCATTTTGGGCCCCAGTATGCCAATAAGTAGAGCTCCATTTGGAGCTGTGATCAAAATGGCTAAAAATGCTACTGTCATCACACTCTGTGCATATTCTTCCAAATGGTGCGCACTGATTCTTGCTGATTCTAGAGCCAGAGGACCCAATACAGCCTGCATTAAGGGAAAAAGATGGGGCATAGAGAAAAATGTTGAGTTAACATATAATTAAAGTAAATGATTCTGTTAAAACAAACAAAAAGCAAGCAAACAAAGCCTAGCATATACTATTAGAAAAAAAAAAGACCATCATCAATTCCATGTTCCATCTAGCAAATATATTTGGAGAAAGAGTGGAACAGTGACAAATCGGCATGCAGACGTTTGGGGCTAATTTTGTTCTCTTGTCCTCTCAGTTTCCCTCCATTTAAGTCTCTTTTTTTGGGTGGTCTAGTTAAGAGTTCAGGAGCTCTGGTGGTAAAGTGCCTAGGACATTTGACTGCTAACCAGAATGATGGCAGTTCAAACCCACCAGCCACTCCTCTGAAGGAAGGTTGGGCAATCTACTTCTGTGGTGATACCTCCTCAGAAACCCAAGAAGGGGTGGCTATGAATCGAATCAACTTGAGGGCAGTGAATTTGGTGTTTTTTCTTTTTTTTTTTTTTTTTCGTTTTAGGGTTCTAGGATTTGTTGCTCTATTTCTTATTGTTCTTCCCACTTGGAAGGCAGTATGATACAGTAGAAGTCACAGGAGATTTGGAATCTAGCAAACTGGGTTTGAATGCTGCTTTTGCTGTCACCAGGTGGGTGATCTTATATAGTGACTCAAGTTCTCTGACCTTCTAATTATTTGTAAAATGAACAACATAATACTTCCCTCACTGTATATTTTGTGAAGATTAAATATGAGAATAAGGAGATCTAGTGGTATAATGGTCAAGGTATTCAGCTGCTAAGCAAAAGGTTGGTGGCTCAAATCCACCAGCTGCTCCGTGGGAGAAAGATGAGGCAATCTGCTTCTGCAAAGATTTACAGCCTTGGAAATCCTACAACCCACTTCTACTCTACCCTAAAGGGTTGCTACGAGCCAGAATGAACTTGATAGCAGTAGGTTTGGTTGTTTCTTTAAAAAATGTAATTCAAAGAACAGCTGGTACATAGTAGATATTCAGGTAATAGTTAAGTTTCTCTCACCTTCCTCCACACTCCACCCCGGCCAATCAGGAGACAACAGATAGCAGTAACCAGTAATAGTCCATTTTCCTAAGATGAAGTTTACTTTGGGGCTAAGCATCAAATGGGCAAAATTTTCCTTGATAAACAAATATATTTAAAAACTTCCATAACTCCAAACCAAACTCACTGCCACTGAGTTGATTTTGACTCATAGCAAGCCCCACTGGGTTTCCAAGGTTGTAAATCTTTACGGAAGCAGACTGCCCCATCTTTCATCAGATGAGCAGCTGGTGAGTTCTTTTTTTCAATTAATTAATTAATTTATTTTATTGTGATTTGGGTGAAGATTTACAGAGCAAATTCCCTTTCCATACAGCAGTTCACATATACTTTGTCTCACGTCTTTGACCACAGTTTACCACAATGCAACAGCTCCCCTCCCACTTCCTCCCCATGGTTACCACTTCCCAGTGTCCATCCCTCCATACACTCCTGCCCCCTGAGCTGTCTCCCTGTGCATAAGCAGCCCTTCCCTCTCCCATGATTGTTCTCTCCAAGGAGTGTATCTACTTGAGGTAAATGTATAACTCACATACCTGTATTTTGTTTGGCTGGCAACCACAGGTGTGGGTTCAATTCCAGACCTGAAGGGCAGCTAGGGGCCATAGTCTCAGTGGTTCCATAAGGCTCTATCAGACCAGCAACCTGGTCCCCACTTTTTTTTTTTTTTCCTCCAAATGATTTTGAGTTTTGTTCCACATTGTTCTCCCTCTCTATCCAGGATCTCCTACATAGATCCCCATCCAAGTGAATGACAGTGGTAGCCAGGCACCATCTAGTTCTTCTGGTCTCATAGTTGTATAGGCTGCAGATCGGATGGTGTAAGCTGGTGAGTTCTAACCAATGACCTTTTGGTTAGCAGCCAAATGCCTTAACTGCTGCACCCCCAAAGCTCCTAATAATTTCCATATTGTTGTTGTTATTGTTATGTGCCGTCGAGTTGAACCCGACTCATAGTGACCCCTCCTTGGGTTTCTGAGGCAGTATCACTACGGAAGTAGATTGCCCCATCTTCCTCCCGAGGAGTGGCTGGTGGGTTTGAACTGCCAGCCTTCTGGTTAGCCGTCAAGTGCCTTAGGCACTATGCTACCAGAGCTCCTAAATAATTTCCATAGTACCTGATAATTTTCAGCAAAGTACAAAAATATGAATTTCTTTTTTCTCCAGTGACCAGAAAGGGTAGATTACATAAAGTGAAAACAACAATAAAAAAAAAAGTGTATGTGTGTGTGTCTCTGTGTGTGTGTGTATGTATACACACACACACATAAGGTTACACATATAGTATATATATGGTTACATGCTTATATACAAACATACACACACACACACACACACACATATATATATGACAGACAAATTAGGAGCTCTGGTGGCATAGTGCCTAAGGCATTTGACTACTAACCAGAATGCTGGTGGTTCAAACCCACCAGCCACTCCTTGGAAGGAAGGTTGGGCAATCTACTTCCATAGTGATAGCCTCAGAAACCCAAGAGGGAGTTGCTATGAGTCAGGATCTACTTGATAGCAGTGAGTTTGGTTTCTTTTGTAAAGCAGAACAATACTGCAAGACTTAAATGGGCATAGTCTCTTTCCTCATACCTGCTTTTCTTTTTCCTTGCTTTATAAGAATTATTAAGTAATAAAGAAAATTACAAGTTTGCAATTGCCTCATATGCATGTGAAAGCCGGGCAATGAATAAGGAAGACTGAAGAAGAATTGATGCCTTTGAATTACGGTGTTGGCAAAGAATATTGAATATATCATGGACTGCCAGAAAAACAAATACATCTGTCTTGGAAAAACTAAACCAGAATGCTCCTTAAAAGCAGGGATGATGATACTTCATCTCATGTACTTCAGACATTTTATCAGGAGAGACCAGTCCCTGGAGAAGGACATCATAATTTGGCAAAATATAAGGTTAGCAAAAAAAAAGGGAAGACCTTCAATGCTGTGGACTGACACAGTGGCTCAAACATAGCGATGACTGTGAGGAAGCACAGGACCGGGCAGTGCTGAGCTCTGGGTGCCTATGGCATTTGACTGCTAACTAGAAGGCTGGCGGTTCAAACCCACCAGCCACTCCTTGGAAGGAAGATTAGACAATCTACTGTAGAGATCCCAAGGAGGGGTTGAAGTGAGTCGGAAATGACTCGTTTGCAGTGAGTTTGGCAGTTTTAAGAATTATTGGAAAGAATAGAGGAATGGATAGATATTTTTTTTTGTAGATTTATTATTCCCTACAGCGAAGATTAAGAAGCCTTGATGGTGCAGTGGGTAAAGCATTTGGCTGCTAACTGAAAGGTGGCAGTTCAAACCACCAGCCTCTCCTCAAGAGAGAGATGTGGCAGTCTGCTTCAGCAAAGATTTGGAAACGTTATGGGACAGTCCTAGTCTGTACTACTGGATCACTAGGAGGCAGAATTGACTCAAGGGCAAAGGGCTTGTAGCTGAGATTGAAGTCCCTGGGTGGAGCAAAGGGTTACTGCTCTTAGCTTCTAATGGAAAAGTTGTCAGTTTGAGCCCAGTCAGAGGTACCTCAGAAGAAAGGTCTGGTCATCTACTTCCAGGAAACCAGCCATTGAAAAACTTACAGAGTAGAATTCTGCTTTGACATATATGAGGTTACCCTGGGTTGGAATAAACATGATGGCAACGGGTTTGATATAGCAGAGATTAAAAATAGAAGTTAGTGTTATTATTTGCATTATTTAAAGATAAAGTAACAACATTGTGAAATGAGCACCGCCATGTGCCAAATAGTGTGCTAAAAGCATTTAACATCAATTATCTCATTTAATTCTCACAACATGACTATGAAATATATACAATCATGGCCCTCAAAGGAAAGATGAGGAAATTGAGGCACTTGGAGATTAAGAAAAACATGCCTAAGGCTACAGGACTAGTAAAGGGGGACTCAAACATAGGCAGCCTCACCACATAGCCTGCTTTTCTAACCATGATGTGTAGAGACTTTTGTGGCATGGAAATGAACAAGTTTCTGTTTTGGAACAAAAATGGAGAAAAGAATATGACTAAATCACAACATTAAAGTGACAGTTTAAACAGTCTAACAATAATAGCAATAGTTTTTCAAAAATGGATAATGTGATTAATCAGAGGCCAAAACTATAAGGCTTCACTTTTCATTCATTCATTCATGTAGGCATATGGTACATATTTATTGAGTACCTCCTGTGTGCCAGGCATTGTATTAGGTGCTAGGGAAACAATAATGAGGGAAACAGACACTGCTTTCCCATATGGTCTGTGGGGCAATTCAGTTATTAACTAAATAATCATATGAATAATTGTATAGTTAAAAACTCTGGTGTGACGAAAGCAAAACAGAAGATGATCTGTGAATGTGTAACAATACTCTGTGACTCCTATTTGAGTTGAAGGGAGAGTAGTTGTTCATGAGCTGAAGAGAATGTGAAGAGGCTATCCTAAGAGAAAGAGAGCATGGCATCTTTGTGGAGAGAAGTATCAGTAGATAAGACTGGGAGATATACAGAAAGTCTATCATGTAGAGCTTTGTGATACTCCCAGAGAAGGTAAGGATGGCAGAGGTGGTGAAGTCTAGAGTTCAAGTAAAGCTTCAACTATTTTGAGATGCTTAAACCCTAACAGAATATGTGCATGTACATATGGTACAGTGTGTGGCAAGTATAGAAAAAACATTTTTATAAAAAATCAATGTGACTCTACTTTGAAATCATAAAAATTTCAATTTTACATATACTTATTTTATATTTTAGTTAGAAAATATTTTCCTAAATTTAGTAACTATAGTTGATTCTCGTTATTTGTGGTAGTTATGCTCTATAAAGTTGCCTTGAACCCTGGACTAGTGAATACTGAACCAGTGCTCCTAGGGAAAACAGGGTTTAGGTTCCTGTGAACCTTTTGTTACATTTTTGTCAAATGATCAATAAATAAACTTGTTTTATGTATGCTTAAGATATCAGACTTATCATACATTGTTGATTGATTAACATTGAATGCACAGCCAACAGCACTATAATTACTGCCTTAATGAAACCTACCTAACACATTTATTTTGTTAGTTAGGAACATTAGACAGCACTTCAGTGCTACAATCAGGGGCCATTTTAAAGAGCAAAATCACCAACAAAAAGTACAAAAATGTGAAAAAATGTGGCACTAAATAGACTGAGAATAGTACACATTGGCCATATAAGAGCACTGAAACAAGGATGCAGTTAATCACCTCATTTGAACTCAGCTAGGAATGCATGCATCGGATGACTCAAATTTTTTGCCGCTCTGCACATGTCCACTGATGACTGTGAAAGCACCAGGAAAATTGCTTTGGTATTACAAATAAATTGTAGAGAGTAGGTGATTTGCAAATGCAGAATCCATGAATAATGAGGATCAACGGTGTTTGTCATTTAAACTACACTTTTCAATGTCAGAAGAATTGCTTTTAAAACTAAGATTTTAAAAGATGTCATTAATTTTAATTAGTAGTTATGGTCAATGGAATATTTTTAAAGTAAGGTTAGTAGCCCACATTTTGTTATTGGAGCCACATTTTCATTTGGAAAGTTTAAAAGTCATCAAAACTAAAATTATTAGAATAATAATAATAATAATTTTTACCTGTACTGTAGCTTTGGGTATCCATGATAAAGCAATAAATACTTTTTCCTTAAAACTAAAACCAGCAAAACACGTGAAGATAAATGTGGCAAAAATTCGTACCATTAATCCCAAACTCAAGGTAGCAACACAAATACCTACAACAGATTAAAAACAAACATAAGGAACAAAATATTTGGGAAGAAGAAGTTCTTTGACTCTAGAAATACTATTTATAAAACTTTTGAAAGCACTTTAAGGTGTTAGGTTTTTGAAAGCACTGGTGTCTTTCTAAGTTAAAAAATAATTCTAAAACTTATGATTGAGATAATCTGATGGTGGAGATTCCATGAAAATAAAATAGATGATAATTATTCAATTCTGGGTTAACAGACTTGGAGTTTTTAATATAAATGAAAGTATTCAAAAGGTGCTGATGGTATCTGATATTTCAGCAGAAAAAGAAATCTCATCTCCTTTTTCCCATATCACTCAGGTAAGACAGTCAGGACAGTCTTTTGGTAACAAAAGAACACAGAGGATAAAGGAGGAGAATATATGTTACTACATCAGCATGAGTTGCTGGAGAAGGTCCTTGTAGCCTTCAGAAGATATACTGTAAGTAATCAAAACATATTCATTGTTTTTCTAAGGATTTTCAAATCTTAGAATTTTTATGCCTCTAATTACCAATAGCATTTGATGGAAGAGATGAAACAGATACTTCTGATCCAACCAAGCCAAAAAGAAGGGGTTGAAAAATATTCCATGTAGCTGCAACAATTTTTTGGACTTTAATCTACAGGAAAGAAAAATATTATTGTGATAAATAAAAATAATTGCATTTTACCAATTAAGCTAAACTATTATTTGGTTTAAAGAAGACTTTAGGGGTTATTTTTAGTTTAAGGTTTAAAAATTATCTCAGGGAAATAGTTTATGTCCCTGCTGACTTAATAGGACTCCAACTGTCCTCCCAGTCCTTCCTGAACTTATACCAGAGTTCAATCAGATGCCCATCTCCAGGAATTTGTGTGAAAAAGTTTTAGTTTGGGCTTATCTTTTTTTAAAAAGACACATGAACAAAACTGCCCATAGCAGTACCATTTGTGATAACACACACACACACACACACACACACAAAATAAAATTGGAAAAATCTAATGTATACAAACAGAGGATTGATTAGGTGGAATGATTATTTCTGGGAAAGGGGTTTAATATTTGAAGGATAAAAGAGTCTTATACAGTTTGCTCTCTATGTGGCCCTTCTGTATTATTTTAATCTTTTATGAACATGTTTTCATGTAATAATCACACACACACACACACACACACACCCATTGCTGTCGAGTCCCATCTGACTCATAGCGACCCCTCCTTGAGTTTCCAAGGCAGTATCCCTATGGAAGTAGATTGCCCAACCTTTCTTCCAAGGAGTGGCTGGTGGGTTTGAACTACCAGCCTTCTGGTTAGCAGTCAAATGCCTTAGGCACTATGCCACCAGAGCTCCCCATATAATAATAATACATTAAAACTGCATGAAAGAATGTAATTAATACAAGTCATACAATCATATTACAAAAAATTTGAGAAAATAAAAAAGGCTGATAAGATAATTCAACTTCAGACTGTGGTGTTATTTCTAGGTTCTTTTCTTATACATCTTATGCACTTTCTGGGTCGATTGATGCCTTCCCTCAAGGACATATGAAATTTTGGAACATCTTCCAAATAGAACACATGGATTTCCTAAATAGGCAATATAGATGTAAAAAATGCAGTTATTTAAAAATGAATTGGTGTAGTTAAAATATTTACCTTTTCTCTGGACCAATAAATCCCTGAAACAAAAGTTAACACTAGTGTACACAATCCTCCAACTCCATGTAAACCAATACGCTGGCTGCCTAAGACAGCAGAAATACATATAACCAAAATAAGGGATGCTCTCTTCCATGGAAGTTTACTCTAGAATCAGAGAAATATTTAGTGGTTAATTTACATTAAATATTGAAGATTTGACCTCATTGATTGTTTAATTTTGACCCTTTATACCATGCTTCAGAATGTTATATTAAATACTGTCTGACATTTTGGTTTTCTTCCTTATGAAATACTATAACAAACATGCTACAAAGTAACAAAATTTATAATTATTAGGTTTCACCTTGTGCCACATTTCTGGTGCTTATGCTTAGTAGAATAGTGATAATACTTTCATTGTAAGTGAAAAATAGGCAAGAGGCCTATATAACCTACAGTTTCCAATATAATATTCAATGAACCTTTAAAAATAAATTTCTGAATATTTCTCTAATCTATAACAATTGGACAATAGGATGGAAGTTACAGAAATACAGGAGTAATGACAAGTTTTATAGTGTAGGAAAGAGTTAAGTATAACAATGTCTTTGTCAAAAGGATGTGGTAGTAGATTTAAGTCAGCTGTGATCTGCATAATGCAGAAATATAGAGGAGACTACAGGAGCCCCTGTAGTGCATTGGTTGAGCACTTGGCCGCTAACCAAAAAGTCGGAGCTTGGAAGCCACCAACAGCTCTGTGGATGCAAAGACCTGGCAATCTGCTCCCATAAAGATTTCAGCCTAGGAAACCCTATGGGGCAGTTCTACTCTGTCCCACAGGGTCACTATGAGTCTGAATCAACTCGATGGCACACAACAACAGCACAGGGAAGACCTAAGAAAATGTGCAGAGGTCAATGGGCACTATCTCCCTGAAAAATGTTTTGGGAGGAAAAGGATAAGGAATAATTGTTAGCACTCAATAGGCAACCTGGGGGAGGAAAGAGTGGGGTGGAGTAGAAAGAGGGTATTCTGAGTTAAGTACATTTTTTTCTTATCTTCTTTATTTGCCAAATCAGGAAGCAGAGATTTCAATCAAGCCAATGATGTGGATGAATCACAACCATAAGCATCACTTTTAAGCAAAGACTAGAGGCTACTTTTGGGGACAGACTTTTTAATTTAAATTTTATATTCCATGGACTTTCCCAAAGGTACCATAATTCCACAAAATAGATTAATTTTCTATTTACCTGGTCTCTACTTGGAAAATATCGAATAAAATATCCCAAAACAACTCCTAGCACCACACCAATAAATACCTCCAACAAAGAAACTAGGAGAGTATGCAATATATTACCTGTAAGGGCACAAAATAAGGAAAAGACTTTTCAGAAAACTATTTTCACAAACCCTACACATTAGAAAATCAAATCCAGGTTGTTTATGAAGCAAGGTAAGCATTTTAGAGTATATGAAAATGGATCTTGGATAATTACACATGTGAAAACCCCTGTAGTATCTACTTGATAAATATACACTCTCAACTCATTCATTGTACACATAAAACTCAGAAATACTCATTGTATAAATATACTAGAAAACAGAAATAATAAGCCATCAATGTGGTCCCCTTAAACAGTCAACCTAAAATACCATGTGAGGTAGAAGAACGTATAGAGACCAACAAGAGAGCCCCATTGGCCCACAGGACATGACTGGTAAGAGCACTATAGAATTATCTTCTCTAATGCCCTATTATGGGTGAAAAAAAAAAAGATTTTAAAACAAAAAGAACAATTAAACAACAACAACAAAAAGATTTATTCTAGGGTCAACCCTAGGTATAGCCAAGGATCAGTCAATTGAAGCTCCAATATATTTTATTTATCTGCATGTGTAGTTCACTATATATAATAAGTACAAAGAGCCCTAGTGGTGAACTCTTAAGCACTCAGCTGCTAACCAAAAGGTTGGTGGTTCGAACCCACCCAATGGCTCTGTTGAGGAAAGAACTGGTGATCTGTACCCATAAAGATTAAACAAAACCAAACCCACTGTCGTTGAGTCAATTCCAACTCTTAGCAACCCCCATAGAGGGTTTCCAAGGCTATAAATTTTTACAGAAGTAGAGTGCCTCATTATCCTCCTGCAGGGTGGCTGGTGAGTTTGAACCTCCAACCCTCTGGTTAGCAGTCAAATGCCTTAAGGACTGCACCACCAGAGCCCCTTCCTGTAAAGATTGTTGTTGTTGTAAAGATTAGCGACTACAAAATCCTGTGGGGGTAGTTCTACTTTGTCACATGAAGTTGCGATGAGTCGAAATTGACCCCAAGGCACCTAGCAACAACAACATGTGATCCTGAGTCAAAAAGAAAGTTCAGCTATGTTCTGTGTATTTGCCTTAATAACATATTCAACTATATATTTTAGAAAGATGTTTCCACTTAAAACAATTAACCCAATATTTAGGAGAATTTGACTATAATAAAGATGACAATTCAACAAGTACAGAAAGGTAATATTCCACAACAGAGTGGAAACAGCTGGCTAATTAGTTGGCTGAAATTAAAGTTAGATCTCTATACCTATCATATTTCAAAGTATGTTGTTGTTTGTCGTCGAGTCGGCCTAATATGTAAAATAAGACCTTAAAAGTCCTTAACATTTTAAGGACCATTTTATATAGTCATGGAATGGGAAAGGATATTTTAAGCATGTACCTTCCTGGTTTTCCTCTTTCTTTGGTCCTCCCCACATTAGGTTTTGTTGTTGTTGTTAGGTGCTGTCGAGTCATTTCCGACTCATAGCGACCCCATGCACAGCAGAACAAAACACTGCCCGATCCCGCACCAGCTCCACAATCCCTGCTATACTTGAGCCCATCATTGCAGCCACCATGTCAATCCATCTCGTTGAAGGCCTCCCCCTGTTTCGTCTACCCTCCACCCTACCAAGCATGACCTCCTTCTGCAAGGAATGGTCCCTTCTGACAACATGACCAAAATAGGTGAGACCAAGTCTGGCCATTCTTGCTTCCAAGGAGCATTTCGAGTGCACTTCCTCCAGGACAGATCTGTTAGTTCTTTTAACGGTCCATGGTACTTTCAGCATTCTTCGCCAGCACAACTCAAAAGCATCAACTCTACTTTGGTCTTCCTTATTCATTGTCTAGCTCTCACATGCATATGAGGCGATTGGAAATATCATAGCTTCTGTCAGACACACCTTAGTCCTCAAGGAGACAACCTTGCTCCTCAGCACTTGAAAAAATTCCTTTGCTGTTCACTTTCCCAATGCTACATGTCGTCTAATATCCTGACTGCTGCTTCCATTGGCATCGATTGTGGAACCAAGCTACGTGAATTCTTTGACAACCTCAATCTTCTCTCCATTTATTGCAATGCTGCTCATTGGTCCAGTTGTGAGGATTTTGGTTGTCTTTATACTGAGATGTAATCCATACTGCAGACTGTATTCTTCAACCTTCATCCAGTAAGTGCCTCAAGTCATCCTCACTTTCAGCAGGCAAAGTTGTATCATCTGCGTATCTCAGGTTGCTAATGATTCTTCCTCCAATCCTGATGCCACGTTTTTCTTCATATAGTCCAGCTTCTC